AAATTGACATTATGTGCTCTTGCATTATGGCAGGATAATTCTCCCATACTTTAGTTTTTGTGGTCACCAGTATTAAACGCTGCACTGGTATCCAGCAGGACCGACTCTTGACTATGTCCCTTTATCCGCTGCCATTACAATCTCAAACAATTTGTGAAGCGTCTCAGTGGAGTTCTGGTGTAGAAAAACAGTCCAAGATCTAAGCTGGGTTTCATGAACTTTTTCTTATTACATCCTGATAAAGGGCAGCTCAGATATAAGGTGATCCATGGAGGATTATTCAGGTCAGGATGACCTCTGCCATTTTAAAAAGGACATGACAGGATCTTCTTTAAATTAGCTGTTGTCCATTATTGACAATATTGATGGACCAAAGGAGTAATACAAACAGGTAAAGGTGAAAACTCTGGAGCTCATCTTTTTGGGTTGCAGAGCTAGATTTTGTAAAGCAGAAATGTTTTTGCAGGTTTCCCAGAACTTTTCACTCTATGCTTAGTTTGGTTTAACTTGAATCTACTACTCACCTGCTTTCCGTGGTCAAGATTTGTAGGATTTGAAAATTGCAGAATCGTTTCTTCCTCTGAAATCCTTCATCTCAGTGTTTGTTTGGGATTTCCAGCTAGCCTCCTGGGAGGCGAGCCCCAATGCCATGGCCTCCAGTAACAGCTCCTCCCCAGTGCCTCGCCCTGCAGGTGGGGGTCGAGACGGGATGCACCGGAAGGAGCATGGCTCCTCGCCTCTGCGCTGCCGGGCCGTTCGCTCCTTACCGGACGTTTGCCCCAAGGAACCAACGGGTGAGCAGAAAAAAACGCCTTCATTGCTCCCAACCTGGTCTACATTTCTGTCTGCATGTCTTTTATCTTGTGTTAATAAATAGTCTGTAATTTGGAAACTGGGAAAAACGTCTGCCTTCATGTCTGCCTCCCTAAACCTAATGCTGTGTATATATTAGGGGTGTAAATCACATCCATCATGGCGATTCGATTCAGTATCGATTTCCTGAACCAACAATTAGATTATTTTCGATACTCAAGAATACACCACGATTCGATTCGATTAATCGGTTAATTTTTTTGTGGTTTTTTTATTCTTTTTTTTTTTTACACCTTACAGGCTAAACAAAGTTTAAAGTTTGAAATAAATCAATGAAAGCTGTAATATCGTTATGCATTTTTAATTTTTTTTTTTAGAAACAACAGCAAATAACAGAAGTAGAAAAGTTGTATCAAAAAATACTGTAAAAATACATAATCAGTGCAATGCAATACCTCGGCTCCAGACGTCCCGCCCCCTCCACAGACGCTCCGCTGCTCCTCTCCCAAATTGTAGCTGACCGCAGACAGGAGGCCGGCTTGTTTTTTTTTTCTCCGGTCTATTTTTATCCATGTGCTCCTGGCCGTAATTCTCCCTCCCGTGCTGCGGTGGCGCTAACCCTATTTTGCCCTCCTCCCTCGCCTCCTTGTTAAACTCTT